TTGGGTTACTACAGAAGGATGTCACATTTGCCGATATTCAAATTAAAACCAAACAACAACTAGATCAATTAACTTCATAAATATACACTTTATTGCAGGAAGAACTGACCTTTCAATAGTGTTTGGCCAGAATGTGTTCATCTTGCACAAAATAGTAGAAGTGTTCATGATAGTGACTAAGCAGTGGCAGGTAAGTTTCCTAGAGTCTTTCTTGGCCATCTCTAGAAAACAGTTTACAGAGATGAGGATCCAGATATAGTATTGTCTAACATTTGTGGCTAATACCATGTGTCTTTTGTGGGATTTTTGGTTATGGATTTTACTTTCTCATAGCCTGGAAATTACTGGAGGTTGGTCACACTGGTGGGAAATGCAGATTCCAGACATGGCCGTAGGCAGTGGTAAAGCCAACCAGTCAGGCCATGGCCTGACCACTTTTTCCTGACATGTGCAGCCATGTAGCCATAGCTTATGTATTAAAACTTGTTTCTTTTAATTCAATACATTACGTTGCGTATGTGTGCAGTATTTGTAGTTAAAATGGCTCATGGTATTAAATTTTCAAAACTTTTCTGGGGGTATGCCCAAAGACTCTTCTAGAAATGGCATGCTTTTCACACATCGTGTGCCCAATTTTTAGCTGTGGCAGTAGCCTGACCACTCAAAAGTTGCTTCCTACGGCAATGCCAAATATGACAAAGAGTTCAAATTTTTATTCAGAATTTTAAAAGTGCCACAAAGCTTTTTTTTTGAGCGGAATCAACTCTCCAAACATGTCTTCCTGTCTCGAAACTGTGGGTATTAAGTAAAGACTTTGCAAACCCATCTGAATAACTAATTAGATTTAGACATCGACTTCAAGTTTCCAGTCATCATTACAATAGACTGCACACACTACTAACTGTTTAATTGTGCTACAAGGTATCTATTACCGGCATAGAGGGCACGGCTTTAATAAGATGTACCAATTTGTCTACAATGGAATATGGTTATTTTCTATTATGAACGTCAGGATATATAATTCTACTTGAAGCATCTTCATGATTTTCATGTGCAATTGATACAAGATTGAAAGTGTTTTTTGTTTTTTCTTTCTATTTCATATATATTTCTCTATTCTTTTGAGATTTTTAGGCCTATATGCGTGTTTATTAAGATATTCTTTGCATCTAAATGCCCATTCAGTGGACAGAACGTAGATAGCCCATTGTATAACTTTGCGCTAAAAACCGAATAATGGTATTCAAATACAACAACGATGTTAAGGAAATTGCAACAGGCAATCTCATTTGTTAACTAGGTTTGAAAAACTACCCGTTTTTTCCATGAGTTTTTATGAGACTGAGTAAAAAAATCATCTTTTTCATTCTTTGTTTAATTTGCTGCTGCGCTAAACGATGAAACTTCGGAAAATTCAGAATCCACCTGAAAATAAAATATTATTAGAAAATATTGATTTAAAAAAATTATTTTAATACTAGTTTACTGTCATATTTCATTACAAATAATTTGGTCGTTTGGTAGTAAAACGTTTCACAAATTTCTGTTAAAAATGAGCTTAAAATGTAAGTTAACACAATTATTGTTAACATATATAAAGAAATAACGATGTTTAGCTATTGTAAAAGTGTGTTCGCTGCCCTAACTATATTGCAGTGACCGTGAGTATTTCACGTCGTAACAACTCAATTTCCACGGCCTTTAAAACGATTAGGGAAAAGCTACTTTATTTGAGAATTTTACAGAAACAGTCCGAAACTATTTCGCAGAAACCTGGCACAGTTGAACTTCCACTTGTAAATCTTTAGTTATAGGACTACAATTCGTGCTTCACAAAAATAAGTAATTTGTAATTACAAGAAGCTTTACGTACACTTTTAACCAAAGCTTTCTTAATTCTGTATTATACTTCAACTACTGAACTACTGTGAGTGCTATTTTACTTTGACTAAATATACTATAAATATTTCTCACGTTTAGTTCTGTTATGTGTTCTATCATTGGACGGGTTCTTTTGAATTATTTGATAAGAAATAATGCCAGTTCAAATCCTGGTATCGATAACAAAGTCATGTATTTCTTCAATAAAGTTTCCTATAAGTTAGATTCATTTAGACACAAGTTGTAGTGCTAAGTTCACAAACAACGTTTCAATATAAATTTCGAGACTAATGGTACGTAAACCTAACTTAATTGCCTTTCGTAAATGGATAAACACGTAACTCACCGAGTAACTGAATAGCGGAATAGACGTGATAATTCCCATTACTAAAACTGAACTCTCAGACTGGGTCTAAACTCTGATTTACTGATTGCTTATATTTATATCGTACTCCTGTTTCTATTTAATACGCGAAATTTCTAGATCATAACGTCATGCACCCTCTTATTCTAGCAAACAAACATCTACATTTTAGTGTTAAAAATATAGCTTATAACAGTGTCCCCCTTCCTGGATTGTGAATTGTCATTAACAATCGTGATACATAAATAAAACCGTACACTAAACTTTACATTCACCAAGATGTTGTAAGGTGCATGAAGTTACGGTCTAGAAATTTCAGGTAATAACTAGCAAACGAGTTTTAAAAAAATTGGGCTTCTTTATCTTGGGACACGCTATATGAATAATTAAGCATACCTTAATTTCTGGTATTTCTGATGAATCATTGAATTTTAAGTTAGGCCTACATTAGTTTCGGATTATTCACTGAAAAGTTTATTTACGAAATTAGGCCTACCAATAAATGTAGCATGTAGCAAACTTTATTCATTTATTGAAGAAATAAATTAATTCGTTATCGTTATATTGACTACACTTCCTATTATTTTATCGTTATATTGACTACACTTCCTATTATTTTATCATTATATTGACTACACTTCCTATTATTTTTACCAAGTAATTTAAAATAACCCGCTCATTCACAGAACATGTTACAAAATGTCTATACTCGTGTGGTTACTAGGCATCATTTTTGAGGATAGCAACAAAATTTACTTGTGCACAGAGACTGCGCTAAAAAATTTTGGGCTATAGGTAGGAATTCCACATGGGCTCGTGGATATGCAAGCATTATCTTACAATGCTTCATGCCCTACTAGCATTTGCTTGCTGTGTTTTGAATAATGTTCACTCGCTTTTTTCTTATTTCAAAAAGACAGAAATAAGAGAGAGTGCTTCCATGTAGCCATTATCAGTTATTTTTTTACTGTTGTTGTAATATTGTTCTTTCGTTGGGTAGGTTCTTTTAAATTATTTAGTGAAAATTAGGCCAAGTTCATTTCACATAACGATAACAAATTAGTTTATTTGTTCCTTAACGTTTCTACAAGCTGCCTTTAATTGTGAGTTGTATACTTTTGTAACTTGTAGGCCTAGGTAACGTTATAAACGATGTTCAAACTCAAATACTTTGCTAATGGTACTACGATTAAAATAAAAAAAAAATTCTTGTACCATTTCACGGTTATTCGATCAAGTAGCTGAATATACCCGATAACTAACATTGATCCAAATACGTCACTGAACTAAAGTGACCCATTACTCACTATTCACCACTCCTAAACTAATTGTTTACTCGTATTTATATACATCTATATCTTGTTTCTAGACAGTTTGCAAAGTGTCTTGATCACTATTCTTCCCGAATGTTCTAGATTTTCTAGAACTTACTCATCGTGATGCGCCTTCTAGCTAAGATCCAAATTAAAACATTGTAAATATAGCTTACAACATAAAGATAATATTATAACAAGTATTCATAATAAATCATCATTCCAACAATACGGTAAAGGCAACATGTGATCCACGAACATTTATAATGCTTACTTCTGACACCTGGCGTTTGTACGGTGTGACACTACTAGAAATATAAGAAACAAAAACAAAAAATTCTTGAACTATGACTGACCTTTTTGAGAGATTGGTTTGAAAGGTTTGGGAATACAGCCTGGAATGTTAGAAATAAGTCCTGGAATCTAGATCCATGCTTACTTTTTGGCAAGTTGTATCTTTTATTAAACAAGAACGTGTGCAGTAGTTGGTCCAATAATATAGTGTGTATATTTTATATGTGCTGTTAGTGTAAATTATTTACGCTGTTATGGAAATATGTACGCACACACATAGTAGATAAATATGATGGGATGCATTTAATAATAATATGGTATTTTTGTTTTTAATTTTAGGGAATTAGTGGTGACTTTGATTTTACAGATGGATTTCTGTAACCTTTCTTTTCGTGATGTTAGTTTAAATATTAGTACATGGTTGTAGAAACTAATGTTATGGTGAGTGGAAGGCTACCTTTCATGGTTGTAGAAACTAATGTTATGGTGAGTGGAAGGCTACCTTTCATGGTTGTAGAAACTAATGTTATGGTGAGTGGAAGGCTACCTTTCATGGTTGTAGAAACTACTTACGTTATGGTGAGTGGAAGGCTACCTTTCATGGTTGTAGAAACTACTTGCGTTATGATGAGTGGAAGGCTACCTTTCATGGATGTAGAAACTAATGTTATGGTGAGTGGAAGGCTACCTTTCATGGTTGTAGAAACTAATGTTATGGTGAGTGGAAGGTTACCTTTATAGGCTTTGGTGACCTTGAACTTTATTACAAAACGAAAGGAAATACTTTCACCGGGAAATATTTGGTATGTAAAAATATATTGGTGTTAATTGAAAGAAACATTAGTATGTAAAAATATATTGGTGTTAATTGAAAGAAACATTAGTATGTAAAAATATATTGGTGTTAATTGAATGAAATATTTTAGTTCATTTTTTTTTTTTTTGCATATTAATTTAAGTATCTCATAATCTAAACCATGAGGGACAAATACTGAAGAACTATGAATTGGTTCATAAAGAGTTTCTATATTTATAAAAGGCAGCTGTTAATCTTTTTTATTAGGTTGATGAAGTATGACCAACTGACCATTAAATCATTATTTTAGACTATTTGTGATTTTATATAAATTATTTTGTCCCTTTTATAGCCAGTGAAGCACCGATTCAACCTTTACCGTACTGATATGTTCAGAAGCAAGTTAAAGGAGATTTCGGTGAATGGAACTGTCCACAAACCACTGAAGACTAATACTTTGGCCAAAGGTGAATTAAAGAAAGGTGGTCAATCTTCTCGCTTCTGCCTTGCTCGCAGTGAAAAGCAAACTACATCTAGTAGTAAAGAAACCCAGTCCACTTCATCTACGAAGTCTTTCCACTCTCGCTTAACTCGACGCTTTTCACCAAAACCTCCTCAACAAGAACCTTCTTCTTCTAAACCCGAGAGAAAATGTTCCAGTGGTCATACAACAGGTTCTGTGAAAAGTACAGTATCAAAAAGGCGTTTACAAACTACAACTGGGAGCCCTCAACATAGCAGTAAGAAAAATGTTGGAGAAGGAAGTAAAAGTACAGCCCCCCATACCTCCTGTTTTTTACCTGGTTCTCCTCAGAAAGACAACGTTAAATCAGAACATCGAAAGAGTGAACAATCGTCTCCTAGTCCTAGTAAACAGAAGAATCGCAGGTTACTGCCAAGTCGATTATGTGTGGAAGAACCATCTGACTCCTCCGAGGAGTCCCATGAAATTCCTTTCTTGAAGATTCACTCCCCTCCCAGACCTTGTCATAAACCAGCAGTTGCAAAAAGTAAGCAAGATGTTGTACAGAATAAATTAAAACTGTCCAAAAGCACCAAGTATCGGCAAGTTAAAGATCAGGGCAAAAAGAAAGTGCTTGAGGACAAAACTACAGATGAGAAGACAACTGGTGGATGTTTTTTGCCTTCTAAAGATCACCTATTAAGAAGGTTTTCTTTTACAAAGACCACAGATGATGAAGATGTCACAAGCTATCTCTCAGTTGAAGATAACTTACAATTGTGTGTTGTCTCTTCTGACTCTGGAATTACGATCTGCGATAGTTCTGAAAAAAGTGTTCTGGATACTGAGGCTGAAAATAACTTTCCGAATTATAAAGAGAGGACAGAACAACAGAATCTGAGTAACAAAACAAGTTCCGTTGATGAACAAAATGTAAAAAATTCACAAGCAATAACTCATTTAGAAATTCCAATTAGGGAAAGTGCTTCAAAAAGTGACTCAGAATTAGTGTCCACTAAAAAAGATGCACATAACCACGTAAGTAAACCTGAGTCAGCTCCAGAAGAAGATGAAGCAAGAGATACTTCACCAGATGGTAGATTTCTAAAATTTGAAGAAGAAATAGGACGAGGCTCCTTCAAGACAGTTTACAAAGGGTTGGACACTGCCACTGGAGTAGCGGTTGCTTGGTGCGAATTGCAGGTAGGTAAATATAATATGTTTTATTTTATAGTATTTTTATGTAATGACCATTTCAAATCAAATAGAAGTTGGAAATTTGTCAAGTGTTTATTGTGTTAACCGAAATAAGGAACTTAGTAGCTCATGTCGGACAGCAAGGAGTACTAATTTGTACCCAGCTGAAGTTGAACACTACAGTTCTATGTCACCAGGCTAGCTATAGGTCGATACATCCTGTAGAGTAACTTGTGTGTATTGTTAGTTGTTGCACTTGCTTACATATTATGAAGTTAGGACATGTTATTAATATTAGACGTTTAGTGAATCAACCCCCACTCCATGTTTTATATATTTGTTTACAAATTAATGTATTCTATAAAGTTGATAGAATGCCACATTTTAAACATTTATTAATAGCTTTTGTACTTCATCGAGATGTGAACTGTACTCTGAGTAAAACCTGTGTTTTAAATAATTAAAGCACTCAAATGATATAAACATTCTTTAAAGTGTACAATTAAAAACTTTATTGTGGGACCGTCAACGGTCTCAAAACAGACACTCAACATGTTCCGACGTCGAATCACGCCATCTTCAGGGGAAAAGAGATATCATTACCTATCCCCACAAGATAACCCTTCAATCCTTGGAATTATCCTAATAGCTCTGCTCTGAACGCTTTCGTGCAGATCAGTATCCTGTCTTAGATAAGACCAAAACTATCCCAAATGAGGCGTAACAAATCATTATATATTCACAAAAAATCAGGACTAGCTGTTGCATTTGAAGTTATTCTTTCTCGCCAGTATTATTATTATTGCATTCATATTGGCACGATCTAAGATGTATGTGTAAAATATGCCCATTTTGTAAAAAGAAAAACAATGCATATCAGTGTATTTGTTAATATTAGCTTCAAATAATTCTCGTAAAGGTTGTAGTTTCAAGTTTTATATCCCCGAAGTTATACAATTTAGCACCAATTTGGCAATGTATTTTGGTTATTTTTCGAGTTGAATAATATTATTTTTTGCTAATAGATATTTGGAAGAAATGTAGCTTCCAGTTGTTTATGTAATCCAAATAGCCCGTGAAAAAGCTTAAACTTGCTTCCTAAAACCCAATGGATTTGATTGTTGTTATAAAATCAGTTTACCTGCAGTGCATTTTGAAGTACAGATGTTGAGTTCGTTATATCTCTTAACTCATATTATCTAACTTGGATGTGAATATCTTAACCCATATTGTCGTGGGAATAATATCTTGAAATACTTTTAGGTAAAAAATGTGACCAAAGTTTATATATAAAAACGTTTCAGGAACATTGAAAATATGCTTTTCTGTGAATGTTGGGGAATGGGTTCTCCATTAATTAACAGGAATATTCCAAATAATGGGGGTTTATTTTGTTAATTATGTGGATGATGTTACCAAGTGTTATTTTGAAACTGAATACTCGTCGAAAGTACATAATATTTTTAATGTATACGTTCACACTAAACATGTGTTGTGGAACCTAACATTTAACAGATATTTATGACATAGTCTCATATGTTATGCTAATGACATAACTACTGTTTCATTCGAGTGACATTTACGTGGTTATAACATTGCTAACACCAAGTAACCTTGGCAACGCGATCCTAACATATTTCTCTGTGAGAGTACAAGTTCCTTGTGCTTTACATTAATTTTTTTTAAAAGATGTTAGTGAGTGTCGACACGTGCACGCGAGACTAGGAAACAATAAATACAGTTTGTACTTATTATATGTCTTAGCAACTGTCGAAACGTGCACGTAAGCGTAAGGAGAACAAGACGTTTCGTCTTTTATTTGGAAATGGCATGACCTATGACCTTCTATACGGTAATGATATGACCTATAAAGGAAGAACATTATGTTGGGGGTGGCTTGTGGCGTCAAAGGTTTTGGTGAGCCTCAAAAACTGAGGTCGTCAGAAAGGGTGTCATTGGTCTCGAGGGGCTTCAAGCTAACTTTTTTGCTATCTCCTTGTGTAGGGAAAGCCATGACTATGAAAAAATATCCTATTTTTTGTCTATGGAAATAATCTGTGTAAGCGTGATTTGAAATATTAAGTTCATTCTCGTGGAAATTGCATAACATAAAAAAGAAAACATCCCGTTGCCTTTTGTGTGTTAATTATGTGACAAAATATTTCTCTGTATTTTGCACAAGTAGCATGACTCACCTTAAATATTACACTGAATATATATAATTATGTAGGTGCTTGGCAAAGATGAAAATACGAGTTTAGTGATAATATAAGCTTTCTAATATTTCTATCGTATTCTTTCCATCCTTTTGTTTTACTTATTTCATAACATTTTTGCCTTCAAAAGACAGAATTATAACCTATATATTTATTCATAACCATTTCTTAATTGATGGACATTTTATTTGCACGCACTTTAGGGTTTAATCCATGTTTCTCCGTCATACCCACCGTTGGTTTATATTCCAGTGTTTAGTTTTAAGTGTATATAAAACTGTCGTTTATGACGCTGTAATTAGTTAGCTAACTTAAACGTTCGATATTCTTTTTCTCTGTCTTAACATTCCCAGTTTATATAAAACAAACGGGTGTGCAGTGTTGAATTCAAGGGATGTGCAGGAGAAATTTCCCCCTGTGCAAAAAAAAAAAAAATCCCCCTGAAGTACAGTATTTTCTATTTTGTCGAATTTGAACTTTAACTCATTCCCCTCCAGCTTCACATTCCCTTCCTCCTGCGGGTGTACTATTTGTGTAGGGCGGGGCGGGGTGGTTGTTATAAACATGTGCTTAATATCATTTGTTTGTTTTGGAAACAATACATACCGTATTGCCCTTTACGCCCCCGGGGGCATTGCAAACTGCAAAGGGGCGCCAATTTTTCACATGTGATTTTTTTATTTCAATGCTAATAGGTGTGGTGTGTGTACGTGTGTTTTTCTCTTTTCTTTCAAATCAAAATTACAGTAATAAAGTGGATTATATGTTGGATTACTGTTGTTGTCAAAATTACACTAATAAAGTGGATTATACGTTGGATTACTATTGTTGTCAAAATTACACTAATAAATGGATTATATGTTGGATTACTATTGTTGTCAAAATTACAGTAATAATGTGGATTATATGTTGGATTACTATTATTGTCAAAATTACACTAATAAAGTGGATTATATGTTGGATTACTATTGTTGTCAAAATTACAGTAATAAAGTGGATTATATGTTGGATTACTATTGTTGTCAAAATTACAGTAATAAAGTGGATTATATGTTGGATTACTATTGTCAAAATTACAGTAATAATGTGGATTATATGTTGGATTACTATTGTTGTCAAAATTACACTAATAAAGTGGATTATATGTTGGATTACTATTGTTGTCAACATTACACTAATAAAGTGGATTATATGTTGGATTACTATTGTTGTCAACATTACACTAATAAAGTGGATTATATGTTGGATTACTATTGTTGTCAAAATTACACTAATAAAGTGGATTATATGTTGGATTACTATTGTTGTCAAAATTACACTAATAAAGTGGATTATATGTTGGATTACTATTGTTGTCAAAATTACAGTAATAATGTGGATTATATGTTGGATTACTATTGTTGTCAAAATTACACTAATGAAGTGGATTATATGTTGGATTACTATTGTTGTCAAAATTACACTAATAAAGTGGATTATATGTTGGTATACTATTATTGTCAAAATTACACCAATAAAGTGGATTATATGTTGGATTACTATTGTTGTCAAAATTACAGTAATAATGTGGATTCCATTAGAGGATTATATCTTGTATTACTATTGCTGTCACATAAGGTAAGCTTTATAAAAATACCAGGGGCGATAATTAGAGAGGGGGGTCTTTAATTAGGGGCAATACGGTATATATGGCATGTGTAGGTTGAGCTATTTGGATGGCTATTAAATAATATAGGAATTAATCAGAGCACTTGCCCGCACAATATTCTGATTTCTACAAAAAGCCCAGACCTTCCAGTCGACCCCCCCCCCCCCCATTGAAATTTGAAATAGGGAAGGAACATGGGAATTTCAACGTTAAGAACTAATTTCATTTCCTGTTCTTTGTTTGGTAAAACTTGTTTTATATCTCTTGAAGGTATTAACATAGTGTCAAATTTAACTTCTAAACGTGTAAGTAACTTTGTGTCACATAAACTTGACGTCTCATACAGATTGTGTTGTTGTTGTGAAGAGAGATTTCTATGTAGAAAGTGTATAGACGAACTCTTGTTTAAACTTGTTTTGTATTACAGGTATGTTTAGTTTTAGTGTTGAATATTTAACAAAATGTATGCTACAGCAGTGTTAAACTTTTACCCTCCCCCCTTCCCCTGGCAACAAACATGTTCTTAAAAAGCGGATAATAAAGCCTATTAACCATTTATGGAACGTGGTTTTTCTTTCTAAAATTAACCCTTATGTGGTGCTTATCTCCGTGATTTTGAAGGAATCGTTTGTGGACACAGTGGTGAATCGAACCCCGGATTTTAGCCATGTAAGTCCATAAAGTTACCGATGTCTCACCGGGGGACAATTCTGAAGTAACTTACCTAACCGAGGTTTGACGCTCACTGTCAGAACGAGGTGATTACGTCATATTGTTCATTAAGAAGGGGGAAGAGGTATTTTCAGTTATAGACACGCGAGAAAGAAGGTTTTTTTTTTAAAGTGGTGCGTATTGGTGTTCGTTGTTTGGGTTGAAGCAATGATAACGACTTGAATTTGCACCGTTAGGTTTCTAAACAAATCACATTTCCAGATGTTTGTTTGTTTGTAGTTAAGCACAAAGCTACACAAAGGGCTATCTGTGCTCTTCCCACCACGGGTATTGAAACCCGGTTTCTAGCGTTGTAAGTCCGCAGACATACCGCTGTGCAATTGGGGGGTATTTCCAAATATACAGTGGAAAATTAAGTAAATACATACACCAGCTTTTTAAATAGTGTCACATAATATTACCGGTCTAAG